ATGAATTTTTCACAAGCTGCATGGTGGAAAACTTCTGTCTTTGACTGCGTGGGCGCGTGTGCGGACGAGCTTTCTTCATTGTCTCCTTGCGCACACAGACACAGAGCTATAGGATAAGCTCGGCACACACACACACGCATACGTATAAAGCAGAGAGAGAAAGAGACGGAGAAACTTCGATGAAAATTTCCGAAAGCGGATAGAAAGAAAATGTTTATATGCGCGCCGCGGCGCCGTTGAATTAGTGATCGCATTAAAACTGCTCTGCGTGATAATGCACCTCGCGAGGCGCAGAGAGAGAGCAGAGACGCGTGAGAAACCTCCCTCGAGGCTTCTATAGTACGTACTATACGTACATCAGGCGCGGCATATTCGCGTATAAAATAACTGTATATCCGTATACACGTACGTATCCGCGATGATGTATAATTTGTAAGATTGACTCTCGGCTCTGAAACCGAGAAACTCTCCAGTCTCCTGTATACAATTTAATGAAATTCGCGTATATCGAGTGTGTGCGTGGTGAAAAATCGAATTCGTCTGCGAAGAGATCACTATCAAACCCAAAAGTACTTATAAAAAAATGAATCAATTAATTTTGAAATTCAATGGTAAAGAAAATCTAAAAAATTAAACAATTGAGTAAATCTAAAATATTAATTATAATATTTAGTTAGCTGTCTACGGACAGTTGTCAGAAGTTGAAAATTAATTGACTGAAAACATCAAAATGTGAAAGAAGAGAACTCTTGAAAAATTTCAAAGAAGAGCATTCAAAATAGCATAAAAAATTTCAAATAATCTAAAAAAATTGTAATTCAAGCAAGTCAAAAATTTAATTGAGAGAACTTTCAACCAAGGAAAAGGACTCAGAAGTTTGACTTATGGTGTTTAGATTATGAACCTCTGTCTCTCTTTTTCAGCACAAGCGCATACGAGTGAAAGTCCAGCGAGTTTCGAGTAATGCGCATAGCTCATATAGCTTGGACCTCGTGTTTTTTACTTTCATCATAGATCAAAGTGCATGTCTACAGACAGTACAAATTACAACCTCGCAGTGCGAGCACCAAAGTCTCATCTAAGATAGCGAGTGATTTTTAAAGAATAAATATATATACTTTTTAAATAATCAGTGTTTGTGAGTCGTGTGTTGGTGTTCGAAATATATAATGTCTACGTCAAATAGCGAGAGGTCCGAAGGTGGAGTCGCGGCAGCCGACAAACATGTGGCGCATCCAAAATTAGAAAAATTGAAGAGGTTACGTAATTTCAATTGGAGGTTTGAAAATCATCGAAACCAATTTCTCCATGAATTTATATTATTAATAAGAGATTGGAAGGAAAAGCTTCCAAATCTGCACAAAATTTTTACGAAGCAAGAGATGGATTGGATTCTCACGAAGAGCATCAAAAGCTTTTTTTGTTATAAGGAAATCGTCGAGTTCGTTATTCGTAGCGGCTACAAAGACGAACCCGACTTTGACGAAGATGGTAAGCCACTGCTGCGTCGTACCACAGCAGTACTGCGGATAGCTGAATGGCACCAGTGGGCTCCGAAAATTAAAGTGCTTAAAAATCTATTTACAATTTACGACAAATTCCACGTAAATTATGCCGACGAGTTAGGCTACACACATTTCCACATGGCCTGCATATATGGTCTCGACGACGTCGCGGAGAAATTCCTCGAGCTCGGCCAGGATCCCAATTGCCTCGTACCAGGAACAGGTAATTTGATGCTGTACTTTTTTACAGCTGCACATTTGGGGTGTCCTACAGAGCCGATTATCCGATTGCTGCTGAAACATGGCGCCGATCCGAGTCAGGCAAACGAGGACGGATCGACTCCTTTGCACGTCATTTGTCGGAATGACAAGTATAGTTATTACACGATTCGGATGTTCCTTGAAAGCATCGACGAACTCCAGCTGACGGTGCTAATCAATGCCCGGGACAATAAGGGCAACACACCTTTGCACTTGGCTATTTTGTGCGAAAATGCGGAAGTTGTCGCATTGCTTCTGAGACTAGGCGCCGATCCGTGTTTGTCCAATGCAAAAGGACAGACTCCACTGCACATCCTCTGCGAGAAAAACCAGAGAGCGAACTTGTTAAAGCTATTCTTCAAGCTCATCGACGAGATCGAGAAGACGGTGCAGATCGATGTCCGGGACAATGAGGGCAACACACCGTTGCACTTGGCTATTTATAGCGGAAACGCGCTGATGGTCAAGTCGCTGCTGAGACGAGGCGCCGATCCGAGTTTGGCTAATGCGGAAGGACTGCCACCTTTGCATCTAATTGCCAGGAGAAACGTTCACGGCGACATGATTAGGATATTTTTAAGTACAAACGAAGAAAGGCAGCAGACGGTGGGGATCGACACTCGAGATGACAAGTTGGGCCGAACAGCGCTGGAATGGGCCGTGGCGAGTTGTTTGCCGATGGCCGTCAAGAGTCTGCTGAGTCATTGCGCTAACGTGTCCGGCTTCGTTTTTCCGACCCCGAGTGACTCTGATAGATACTGGGACAACAATCGTCAGGTTAACAATAATCTTGGAGGAGATTGTTCTCTAACTAAACTGACTGCTGCGACGGGCCTACTGGTCATCGTCGAATTGCTCGAGGCAAGAGGCTACATAATGAACCGAGACGACGCCCTGAAGCTCATGGGATTTTTCGACAAGTACGGATTGTACGAAAGTAGGGATTTTTCGACGAGTCAGGATGTCGATGATTTAGTCGATGGATTATTCAAAGAGATGGCAAAAAAACGCACTTATATGGACTACTTAAGGTTCACAAACTCGTACAAATTGCGTAAGATTCCCCGCAAGTCTATGGAGGCTTGTTATTCGCGCCTGTGTGAGAAAGTATTGACGAAATTTTTCCGCGATTGGGCCCTGGATCCTTTTATGCAATTGATACATTACCGACTGCCCACCGAGTGCTGTGAAATTGTCATTAAGAAGCTGAAGAACAAGGATTTGTATAACATTTGTTTGGCGGCTGCGGGTCGAAGCTCGCAACAATAATCATGTTTGCAATCATTTTTTCTATGTACGATGTTGCTTCATCAAATAAATGAATATATTTTTAAAAAAATGAGGTTCAATTTTTCCATTGATAATCACAAGATCATAATTCTCTTCTATTTAGCTATCATCTCATCGATAATGCATTTTGGAAAAAATTTTAATCATTGGAGCATTGACAGAATCCTTTAGTTTCGGTTCAACAATAAACATAAAGTTTCCTGTTCACTTACGGTGTCGCTGAGTGTCCCAAGTAGGTTATTTTTTAAGCTTGAAAAAGTGATGCAAAATTGACAGCATCACTGAACAAGATTTTAGCGCGTACAGAAGTTTTACGTCAAAACAAACGTACTAAAGTCCAAAATGGAAATTCAAGCGAATAAAAGGATCCCTATCTATATAGAGTCTATATTCCTACGATTATCACGGCGGTCAGCGCTCGCCCGTACGTACGCTCGGTTTTCACAGTTTTACCCCTCATACCTAACGCGACTAAAGACGTTTCTCTTTAAAAAAAGGAAGAGCAGTATTTACCTTCCCCGTGCACGGGGCAGCAGACGTCGTTGTTATTTGAAAAATCGCGCCCGGACCAGCGTGAAGAATCGCGCGTATTTTTAGCATAGTAGTAGTTTTCCACTCTAATGGAAACTAATGGGGGTAGAGCTTGCGAGCGCGCCGATACATAATGAGCTTGCGAGCGAGCGCACGCGTTTTCCCATTTTTACTGCCCTGCTGCTGCTACTAGTACACTACTCAAAGTTTACTGCCTGCAGCAGCAGTAGCAACGCAACGCATAACGCCTGCCTCTGAGCGCGGCGGCGGCCCCTACAGCTCCTTAACGACTAGCTAAAGTCGAGTAGATTCAACGGAATATTTTTCACGCTTCACCGAGCCAGAGTCTCTCTTGAGAGAGAGACGAGAGAGATAGATATACCGAAGTAAAAAAATAGCTACACCGAAAACTCGATGCACCTTCTCTCTCTTCCTCTTTTTTTCTTTATGCAAGGAGAGACGGGAGAGTATAAGGTATGTACGGTTCGTTTAACGCTTCCTTGGTGCAAAAAAAAAAATAAAAATAAAGTAAAACGAGGGCATCCCACTTTTTCTTTCCTCTACTTAGTGGGAATTCGTAGAAAAAAAACGCGCGCGTCGCTTCGTGTCGTTTGCCAAGTATTGTGTGTGCCGCGCGTATCTTTTTATATATTTGTCTTGTTGGCCTCTCTTGCTCAGCAGCTCCTTTTTTCTATCACAAAGTGGCATTTCGTCGGCCCGCAGTGCATCCTATTCGCTCGTTATTATCGGAACGGCCATACCGAAATGACGTAACGAGCGAATAAAAATTTTACAATGAATCTCTCAGTAGAAAAGATATTTTACATGGTTACATGTACGCAATTTGTACGTCATCCGCAGATTCTCGCGGCCGCGCGGGAAAAAAACCATTCGAGCTCGGCTGGACTAAAAGCTTTTAAAGGCTCGCTTGCGTAAAGTAAGTCGCGCATTATACGCATCGTATTATTATCCTCGCGGATTCGAAGCTGCGTTACGATGAGCTTACATCGTATATGGTAGTACATTCATTACGTTTCGCTCGCGCGCACAAAGCAGCTGTCAAATGCACAACGGCGCAGGGCCGTGATACGCGTCAAGGCGCGCCCCGAATGAGATATATTACCCTTACTATATGTTCGACCTAAAAAAAAAAATAATAATAATAAAATGAAAAGCTTTGGGAGAAGCAAGATTGAAGGCCTGGGAAATGACATTTAAAATGAAAAAAACTTTTTCTCTTTCTTTTTGCAGGATCTTACGGACGAGCAGGAGGAAAAGGAAGAGTTATATAACATGGCAGTAAACATGGACAAAGGAGCATCAACTTCTAAGTAAGATCATAAAATGTCATATACAATGAGTTTAATCTTGATATATATCTATGTAGTACAGCATCGATGAAGTCTTCCCTCCTGCCCGAATCAGCTCGTGAAATTTTACTATCTCTGCGTACACACACATACATAGTACATCTCGTAATACCCGTCCGTTCATGTACTTGAAATTATCCTTCTTCCTCTTCTATATACACGCGTGTTTACTGTCTCACGACCAATCCTGCTTTATCATGTCGCTGGCCTTTTCCCCGATCATGATCGCCTGGGCGTTGGTGTTGCCGCGCGGCAGCTTCGGTATTATGCTAGCGTCGGCGACCCTCAGACCGCCGACGCCGTGGACCCTCAATCTGGGATCGACCACAGCCTCGGGGTCCGAGCTCGGGCCCATTCGACAGGTGCCCGCGACGTGGTGCAGCGGCTTGTAGTATCGGCGCGCGACGCACTCGAAGTACTCCTGCGTGCCGAAGGGCTCGGGCGCGCACAGCGGCGCCGGTGTCCTCTCGACGACGAACCCGCTCGCCCGGAACCTCTTGGTCCCGGTGAAGGCGAGCGAGGCGCGCAGGCCCTCCGCAAGCACCGCGAGATCTCGCGGATCCGAGAAGAAGTTGGGGTAGATGAGCGGCTTGCCCCGGACGGGATCGGTCTCGTTGAGCCGCAGCCAGCCGCGACTGCGGGGCGACGCGATCGACGGACTCACGGCCAGCAGATCGTAGTAGGCCATGGCTATGTAGCTGGATAGGTTGCCGGTGCGGGGCTGGTCGTTGACGCCCGTGACGAAGAACACCTGGACGTCGGGCAGGCCGGGCCTCGTCTCGTGCGCCGTCTGCAGGAACGCCGTGACGCCCCACAAGCCCGACGGGGCGAAGGGCCCCGAGTGGCTTCGCAGCCATTGGCGGGCCGAGGCCACCTTGTCGTCGACCAGCTCGAAGGAGGCTCGCGGCTCCACCCGAGTCAGACTGATGGCGCTGGCCGTGATGTGCTCCTGCAGATTACGACCGACCGGCAGATTCGCCAGCAGCGGGATGCCGAATTTGCGCAGCTCCTCGCTGGGTCCGATGCCCGACAGCATCAGCAGCCTGGCCGAGTCGATGGTGCCCGCCGACAGGATCACCTCCTTGCGGGCGTAAACCCTCCTCTTCCTCGACTCTTCCGCGACGTACTCGACGCCTCGGGCCCGCTTCAAACTCGGATCCACGATGACTCGGGTCGCTCGGGCTCGGGTCAGGATCTTGAGATTGCGTCGGCGGCCGCGAATCGGCCGGATGAAGGCCACGTTGGAGCTCTGGCGCACGCCGTTCCGCGTGTTGTACTGGAGCCGCGCGATGCCCACCTGCTTGCCGGAATTGTAATCCACCTCCTTGTAGCCGGCCTCCCTCCACGCGTCGATTATCGTGTCGATGTTGCGATCCGCGCGGTCGACCTCGATGTTCAGGTAGCCACCCTGGCCGTGATGCTCTCGTCTCGCGTTCGGCACCAGCTGCGAAAATACAACAACAAAATTGCGGTCGAAAAATATTCGACGAACGTACGCATATTTACTCACTCGTCTCAAGTTCTCGGACTTTTTAAAGTAGGGCAGCACGTCTCGCCAGCTCCAGCCTTCGTTGCCGTATCTTCGGGCCCAGCTGTCGTAGTCGTGCTCGTTGCCGCGCACGTAGGCCATGCCGTTGAGCACGCTCGTGCCGCCCATCACTCGGCCCCTCGGCTGTATGCACGAGGTCGGATTGTTCTCGCAGACGGCGGGCTCAGACTGGAACGCGTAGTTGTAGTCGATGCTGCTGTTGGGCAGCAGACCGACGAAGCCCGGCACCGTGGCCAGAATCGGCTCCTCGTCGCCGGCTTCCAGCAACAGTATCTACAGCGAGAAAATCAAAGGTTATTTCAACTTTTTGAGCTCTAGCTTCGATTCGACATTTTTTTTTTGTTTACTTTACCTTCCATCGTTTGATCTCACTGAGGCGATTCGCCACGACCGAGCCCGCGCTTCCAGCCCCGACGACGATGAAATCGAACACCTCGTCGTCCTCGATCACATCTTTGCGAAATTTATCGTCGTCCGAGCGGCCCATCCACTGGGTGACGATCGTCAGAAAGGTCAAAAACGCCGGCTGGCATGTGGTTATGAAATTGTTCTGAAAGCAGGTACCGTCGTGCAGGGCATTGGTCGACCAGGCCATGATTGCACGATTACGATGGATATGAAAGCGCCGAGCTCGCTGCTCGACGAATGACTGTGCTGCAGCACCGGCAGCAGCGAGAGAACAAAAAACAAAACGAGGAAAACACCTTGTGCGAGTTAAAAATAAGAATTAAAAAAAAAAAAGACTCACCGTATACTGCACTCGTTACTCATGTGGCACATTAATTAAACATTAATTAAAACGCGCGCGCAAGCAGGCCTGCACAAATAAGGAGAACAACGCGGGCTATTGCCGCGCGCGCGTGACATACCCGCGTGTATGTACGAACGTACTGCGCCAGCAGTGCCGCATAAGAAAAATAAATAAATATAGCAAAAAAAAAAAGTCCCCGAGAGTCAGTGCGGCATCAAAGGTATAATAATTATTATACTATCTTATCTCTGGCGATTGGTGCGTTGCTTTGCGTTGCATTTCATCCAAAAAACACCCTGAAATTTTATATACCTATACCTATGTATGAAAGGCTCTGGAGCACGTACGGAGTATATTGCATACATGTTTCTGATAGTTTTACATCGGCGAATCTTTTACTGCCTGTACGCTGCTGCTGCTGGCGCGTGATTCGCATCCAACCGAGTTCGATTAGAGATCGCGAAGTCGATGTTTTAACACGCAAAAGGGCATGTGCTGTCGGGTAGACTTTATAAATTTGTATCATAGGACGCCGGGCTGGTTTTATATAAACAACGTGCTGAGATAAAAACCGCTGCCAATTCGTTGCCAAAGTATGGCTTTACTTCTTAAATATTTCAGGATGTCTCAAAGTCGTTTATAAAAAATTAAAGTAATTCAATACTTATTGGGCTCTCGTGTTTTATCCGGAAATTCATTTGTGTGGCTCAGTCGTTGTCGAGATCGATCAAACGTGCACTTTTTAGCGATATTTACCTTTCTCAACTGCTGTCAACTGATTTTTGTTTATAATCGTCGATTTATTTATTTAAACCTCGATAAAATACGAAGAGATGCAACTCGACACGATAATTAGCGCGAGGCGATATCTACCCGGGACAAATCGTACCTACGAGCCCCGAAGCATGATACACACTTGTGTGTGCGTGTCGGCAGTCAATCTAGGCGTTATACTACTCCTAATTAACAAGCAATGCTCTCTCTGTCTCTATCTCTCTCTGCGACAAGGTAGGTAGAGAGAAACACGACGAAGATAGATCTCTGCACACCGAATGGAATGGAGCGAATGTTTAGCAGCAGCAGCAGCAGCAGCTCATCGGTGTACAGAGCGACGCTGATTCAGCCCGAAGTAGCAGCTTTCAGCTCGCAATAAATTGACGAGCGCGCGAGCGAGCGAGCCAGGCAACAATCGTAGCGTAAGATTGAGCGTGGTTGCGGCAGTTAAGGGGCGCACCTTGACGCTGACAATGTTGAACCAATGGCTATGTATATGGCCGATTCTCTGTGAAATCGAATGGCCAAAAAAATTTTTTTTCTGCAAATATGAAAAACTTGCTGTTCCCGATGTCAGAAATGTCCCCAAATTTTATTAGAATTTTTGGGACCATATATCACTCTTTTTCAGGGTCCCGAAGTTGGCCATTTTAGGGTTTTTTTGAAATTCATGAAAAATCACAAATATTAAAATAATTCCTGGATTAAAGTAGAATGATTCAAAAGTAAAAGTGCCCAGCAACTTTTTTGTTGGAAATTGTCCAAATTTTCAGAAAAAAAATATGCCAAAGTGATTGGAACAATCTAGGTAAATGTAAAGCAAAAAAACTAAAAAAAAAACATAAAACAAGAAATCTACTCGAGTTCGAACCGGACTTTCATTTCCTAAACTATGTAAAAAGCTTCCCAAAGATGTCAACTAATGCCTGATAAAGTTTTGTAATGGGTCTTAAAGTTTAACGCAATGTAGACAACAATGTGTGGCGAAAAACATGCAAAAAAGGGCTGAAAATGGCTGTTTTTGGTGATTTTAGGCATTTTGGGCCTATTTTTGACCTTTTTTGCATGTTTTTCGCCACACATTGTTGTCTACATTGCGTTAAACTTTAAGACCCATTACAAAACTTTATCAGGCAGTAGTTGACATCTTTGGGAAGCTTTTTACATAGTTTAGGAAATGAAAGTCCGGTTCGAACTCGATTAGATTTCATCATTTATGTCCCTTTGGCAGTTTTTTTGCTTTACACTTACCTAGATTGTTCCAATCACTTTGGCATATTTTTTTTCTGAAAATTTGGACAATTTCCAACAAAAAAGTTGCTGGGCACTTTTACTTTTGAATCATTCTACTTTAATCCAGGAATTATTTTAATATTTGTGATTTTTCATGAATTTCAAAAAAACCCTAAAATGGCCAACTTCGGGCCCCTGAAAAAGAGTGATAGATGGTCCCAAAAATTCTAATAAAATTTGGGGACATTTCTGACATCGGGAACAGCAAGTTTTTCATATTTGCAGAAAAAAAATTTTTTTGGCCATTCGATTTCACAGAGAATCGGCCATATATATACGTACATGAATACAAGAGTCCGCACTAAAATATGACGTCCCTCCCCCCTCTTTCTATCGTTACAATAAAAAAATTGACGCGCGTGAAGCACGGTTGAAACATCTATTAAGTCAAAAATAACATCTAAAAAAGTTGAGTAAATCTATAATATTGATTCATAGTTTTGACTATCAGACAAAAAATTTGTACATCGGCAGTCGGCACAGATGAGAGGCATACGAGTCTCGTTTGACGGCTATTGATCCACGCCGGAAATTTTTGGGCGCGACTTTCATTCAGTGCAGGGGGGAAGGGCATTTAATTAAATTTGATGATGAATCAAATTAATTGATTTAAACCTGAAATATTTTTACTTTCAATTTTTACAACTTGCTATTACCGATTCGAATTAATTTTTCTTCGATTAGTCTAATTTTCAACTTGGCCGTACGGAATTTTTCGTACGATTCGACGATCGTATTTTCTTTTTCGACATCGAGTGCTCGAATACAGCTGAACTCCTCTTTAATCCTTTTCAAAAGGTATAGGAACGAGACGTGAATTTTCAGTGTAACTTTTTTTTGCTTCGTAATAAAATTGAAATAACACAAAAACACATGAAACTTAAAATCCAAGCAAATGAATGCATTTATTATCTGCACCATTTAATCGCATTCGAACGACAAGAAAGGTCGACGGGATTTTAATAAAAATCAGCCAAAGAAAATTTTCAATGCGGCTCACAGGCTCACAGCTTCCAAGCAAGAATTAAAAAATTGATCATCCTCGACCCCAGCGAGGATCCTTCTCCATCGGCGGCAAAATTCCCTCGCCATTATCTGGCCCAAGCGAGCGGCAAAGATCAGTTCGTACCGCCTAACGACTTCTTTTAGCCACGGCAGAATCTCATTCCTGTCTACAAAATCGTAGCAATCCGTTGCGGTGAGCCCACGTGGCCTCGCGAAGTCGGGAAATTACTTTCGACCTCAATAATTGAACATTCGCCGATCGATCCAAGAATCCGCACCTTAGGAATAATCTCGCTATCCTCCGGGCGTCGCTCGGGGCCATCTCGTATCCTTTCTTTTTGAGGACTTCGATGCAGGCCAGCAAGCCGGAATCCATGAGCAATCTCTTCAGCTCGCTCAGCGTCAACACCGTTGCCGCAACGACGTGTGCCGCGGGAAAAACGAAGCCGGTCAGATGGGAGTCGCTTGCCAAGAGTGCCTCGACCGTGTCCGGCTAGAAATTGATTATGGCCCACCGCAGCGAAGCCCAATTTTCCAATAATCTCTCCATTTCGTTCAAACGTTTTTGGTTGTCTTGAGCCATTTTTCTATTCGTTTACAAAAGAAGATGGAGTCGGATGAATATAAAAATATTCACAATTTGGAGCGTGGGAATCGATATAGCTAAATTATTATTTTATAGCTAAATAAGATCGACGCGATTTCTCTCTGTCTACACTGAGGCGTCGTAACGTGTACTGACTCAATAAACAAATAATACGATCTAATTTGTGCCAGAAGCTGTGAGTGTTTACGAGCTGTACAAGTAGAAGAAAATTCACGTGTAAACGTGTCGTGTGGACAGCGAAAAACTCGCGCTGACTCACGTTAGAGGTGACTTAATTTTCAGAACGACTTTATTAAATCGATTCCGAGCAGGGGGAGGGGTGTATTTGAATAATTATAATGATCAATCAAATTAAATGATATCAACCTATACAATATTAATAAGTTCAATAATTGTAATAAGTCTAATTTTTAATTTGGCTGTACGGAATTTTTATTGATGATCATGTTTTTTTTTTTGCGACTCGACATCGAGTGCTCGAATACAGCACTTTTTTTTTCTCTTCAATATAGTTGACCGATGACAGGAGACTTGTTTTTGGTAAATAAAATAAAATTAAACCAGAAACACATAAAACTTAAAATCCAAGCAAATAAATGCATTTATTATCAGTACAATTTAATCATTCGAACGACACGAAAAGTCTACAAAATTTTAATAAATATCAGACATCAAAAACTACTTCCAACGCGCCTTATATATTGCCGTCGGAATAGCAGCTCACATGCTCACAGCTCTCAAGCAAGAATTAAAAAATTCATCAGACTTGGGCCGCGCGAGGGTCGCTCTCCATCGGCGGCAAAATTCCCTCGCCATTATCTGGCCCAGGCGAGGGATCGTGAGCAGATCGTAACGTAGATCGACTCCTCTCAGCCACAGCAGAATCGCATTCCTGCGCGTCAATTCGTAGCACTCCGTTGCGGTGACCCTTGCCTGGTCGGGCCGTCGCATCAGATTGAAGAACGACAAGCCTGGCCTTATCATTAGTTTTTGCGTTACTTCAACGAGAATTTTACATTCATCTTCAAATTTTGTTTTAGCAACACAATATTTATCAATTGCTTTCTTCGTCAACCATTGAACATTCGCCGATCGATCCAAGAATTCGCATCTAAGCAATAATTTCGCGACCGTCAGGGTGTGTCTCGGGGTCAGATGGTATCCTTTCTTCGCAAGGAGCTCGAGGCAGGCCAGCAGGCCGGACGCCAGACGCAATTTGT